AAAAAAGATAAGAAAAGAAAAAAAATCCAGAAAAATAAAGTCTTCCATCAGTTTTAAATACAATTTTATTTTTTAGGGAACAGTTCTTCTCACTAGGCTCTACTTTTATTACCTTCATATGTGATTGATTGAAATCTTGAAGTTAGTTTATAGTAAAAGTAGTAGACTTTTGAATAGCTAATTTTCCCATTTTACGATCAATGTTTGTTTATTTAATTGTTTGTTAAATTTGGCCTTTTCTTTTGAATGACCTTTTGCTTTCCAACTCGGTGAGATCAAAGAAATCGTTTCCCTTAAACAACTATTTACCCATGAGAATGTGGAGTTGAGACTTTTATTTTGATTAATTCTCAAAGCTATATATGTTGTTGTTTATGGTATGAAGGTTATACTCCATTAACACATGCGCTTTTGAAAGTTATAATTGAAATAATCTTGATAGTGATTGTGATCTTTTTCTAACTTTTCATTTGAAATGCCTTGGTGGTTTTACTAGATTTCTATTTGAGCTAATCAGCATGTTTTCTTTCTCACTTGAATTGTTAGAGACTAGCAATAAGTTAAGTTGGAGGTTGTGATAACAGCATGAAAATATATATTTAAAGTGTGTTCAACAATTGACATTTGCGAAATTAGGGGCTTAAGAATTGTATTTTTTTGCTTCCAAACCCAAAAAGAAGGTATTCCATTAGCTCAGCTTATACTTACTAATGCCTAGTACTAGTTTGGAGCAACCTAGAGACTTTGGAATGATTTGGAACAGAAGGGTGCCACTGAAGATATCAGCTTTCGCATGAAAAGCAGTACAGAGTAGAATCCCAACAAAGGAGAACCTACTGAAAAGAAGGATTTTGTTAAATTCCGATAACTTGTCATGTGCCCTATGTGGATTGGGGGTTGAAAACTCGAACCACATCCTTTTCTCTTGCTCTGTAGCTTCGAATGTCTGGACATCTTGCCACAAATGGTGGGGTATTACTACTGTATCGCTTGAAAAAGGCTGGCAACATTTGGAACAACACTCAGGCCTCTTCACTAATCAACATTTAAAGGAAGCCTGGACGATGGTTTGGTTTGCAACATTATGGTTTGTGTGGCTATTGAGAAATGAGGTGACATTTAAGAAAGTTCAGAACTCAAAGGGAAGGTTGTGGAACTAATCAAACATCAAACCTTCCAGTGGCTTAAAGCTACCTTAGTGCTTGAATTATCGATGGATCATTGGTATGCTTCCCCTATACAACCGTGTGAATTGGCAAAAAAGCAACAACACAAATGATCCTGCTCTATAAATGAAGGTTTTGGGATATTCACGTAAGCTTTGCATATTGTGTCCCTTTAATTTTGTAATTGCATGTGTGGAATTTGTTTGATTTACTTGTGAGGGATGTTTGCACACATGTGATTTGCTTATGATATAATGGGTGGGAATACTCCTTGTACTCTTTTAATAAAAATTTTTCTTGGCTGAACAAAAAAAAAAAAAAGAGTTGTATTTTTTTTACAAGTAATTTTATAAATGTTCATTCTATTAATTGTGCAATTTTTTATGATTGAAGGTTTGATGATTAAATGGAGAGAATTAGAAGATAAGGGTCCACATGTAAAGAGTTTGAAAGATGAGGGTTCAACAATCAAATTTAAAAGTTTGAAGGCTCAAGTGAGATTTTTTCATTTTTGGCAAAGGAGCTAAGTGCGTGGTGTCGAAGTGTCAACAGGTGTTGCAACCTGTTTTCAGGTTCCAATCCCTGATCGTGCAAAAGGGGGGGATAGATGCAAGTAGCGTTCTGCAACCTGTTTCCAGGTTCCAATCCCTGGTCATCATATACACAAGGGACAGAAGCATGTGGAGTTTCGCACCTTGAGCTTAGGTTCCCACCCTTGTTTGACTAGAATACGTGGAAAGAAATAAAAAAAATAAAATTAATTCATTAGGTCTGCTATCCAATGATCAAGTAGTTTTATTTTATTTTCAATATAAATAGGAGTCTTAAAAATTAGATTTAATTCTTTTTAGAGGCTGTTCTTTGGATTATATTTTCTTCTTTTTCTGCAGTAGTTCCTTGGATTATATTTTTTTCTATTTCTGCTAAATCTTCAGTAAGGTTAGGGAGGATATTGATTAAGGAGGTTAATTTGTTATTTTATTTTATTCTTTTGTAGATTTTATTATTTTATTTTATTTTAAGAGATTATTAATTATTTTTAGATTTGAAAACCTTCGAAGCTATATTTATCAAATTTCAAATAAGGTTAATTATGTTTTATTTATGTGTAATTTGATAAAATATAATTCATTGGTAAATTTGTTTTAAGGGGTGATTCTCTATTGTAGTATTGTCAATTAGATATATTATTAGTCTTGGATAATTTGTAAGGATAAATTAATTTGTTTTTTTATTAAAATTAATTTCTCTCAGAATAAATGCATTAACTATTATTATTGGTCTTCAAAATTATTTTTTCAATTATTTGTTTAGAATGTGAAACATGTAATCAAGTAATAAACATTAATCAAAATTTGTAATAATTGAATAAATTAATTAAATGAACTCTGAAACTTTGTTCATTAATTATTTTATTTTATTTTTAATTTCAAAAATTATCCTTTAATTTAATTTCTTAATATGATAACTTTTTTTATTAGTTTAATATAGTTTTCTAGTGAATTCAACGTCATTATATAATATGAAAGAGAGAACGTGTAGTTCATTATTTAAAAAATTGAAATCATTAATTAAAGGAAGACTCAAATCTTTTTATTAACAAAAGTCTTCATTAATTAGATAATTTTTTTAAATAAATGAAAAAAAATTAAAAATGAAATCCTAAAACAATTCAAAAACTTAAAAGGGAGAATATTTTTGAGTTGGAGTTTAATTAAAAGTCTTAATTTTTAATTTACTGGATATGTAAGAAATTCATTTATTTAGGTTATAATATTCTCATTTTTTGCAAATTGTTTAATTAAATTCTAATAATGGTGGTATAATAAAAATATTATATATTGTATTAGTCTTGAGTTGTTATATGTGAAACATTATAAAAATT